GGGGATCTATAGGGGGATATGGGGGATCTACAGGGGAATATTGGGAATATGGGAGATATGGGGATCTACGGGGGGATCTATAGGGAGATATAGGGGATATGGGGAATATTGGGAATATGGGGGATATTGGGATATGGGGGATCTATAGGGGATATAGGGGATCTATAGGGGATCTATAGGGGGATATAGGGGATCTATAGGGGAATATTGGGAATATGGGGGATGTATAGGGAGATATGGGGGATCTATAGGGGGATATGGGGGATATAGAGGAACAATGAGAATATTGGGAATACTGGGAATATGGATGGTTTATAGGGGGATATGGAGGATATAGGGGAATATTTGGAATATTTGGAAGATTGGAGATACGGGACTGGATTTGAGGGATATGGGACTGAATTTGGGACAGAGAATTCCTTAGGGAATTGAGGGACAAATCCCACTCTAATCCCAACTGGATTCTCAAGAGATTTTTCTGGAATATTCTGAGCCTTTTTCCATGTTTTTTTTCCATAGCTTTTCCTGGATGATGCCAAAGTCAAGAACTTCACCACTTGTTTCAAAGGTACCTGAACATTCCCAGGATCCAAACCTAATTAGGAGCCAAGCCCTAATTAGACTCCTAATTAGGTCAATCCATCCCTTCCAGCCCTTCCCAAGGGATAATTCCCAAGGAACTGATCCCTAAATCCCTTTTTCCAGCCCTTTCCTTCCTCTCCTTCCTCTTCCTCCTTCCCCTGGAGCCTTTTCCTCCTTCCTCATCCCATTCCCACTGGGATTATCTCCCTAATTTTCCTCCTGGGGCTCAATCCATCCCTTCCAAAGGATAATTCCCAAGGAACTAATCCCTAAATCCCTTTTTCCAGACCTTTCCTTCCTTTCCTTCTTCTTCCTTCACCTGGAGCCCAACCGGAGCAGTCGCTACGAGTCGGAATTCCCATTCCTTTCCCGCTGTGGAAGGGAAAGGAATTTTCTCCGTTGCTCTGATCGTCCTGTGGTTTTCACCCATCTCATCCCTGGAAATTCCCATGGGAATCACTTCCTTTCCTACTGTGGAGGTGGAGAACGTTTAGTTGTGCCTTTCCAACCGGAAAAACTTTGGATATTCCCAAAAAATGGCAGGTTGTATCATCCAGCTCCGGAAAAAATTGGAGGAATTGGATTAGTTCGGTCGGCGTTGGTTGAGGAATGGAGTTCATTGTTCCGGTATTCCCAAGGTTTTCCAGAGGAAATTCCAAGTCATTTTGTTTGGGAAGGGAAGAGTTATAAACTCTCTGGGGATTTGGGAAGGAAAGAGATGGGAGAAATTTGGGAATCGGTGCCGGGAATGGGGTGAGGGGAGTGGGAGAGGGTCAGACATTCCCAAAAATCCCTTGGGAATGGGATAGAGATGAGGAGCCTCAAATTCCCATCAAAACTCCCCCAGAGGAAATTCCAAGTCATTTTGTTTGGGAAGGGAAGAGTTATAAACTCTCTGGGGATTTGGGAAGGAAAGAGATGGGAGAAATTTGGGAATCGGTGCCGGGAATGGGGTGAGGGGAGTGGGAGAGGGTCAGACATTCCCAAAAATCCCTTGGGAATGGGATAGAGATGAGGAGCCTCAAATTCCCATCAAAACTCCCTTGGGAATGGGAATGGGATGAGGAGCCTCAAATTCCTAGAGATTTATTGGGAATGGGATAGGGATGAGGAGCCTCAAATTCCCATCAATCCCATGGAATTTGGAGCTATTGGAGCAGTTTCCTTTATCCCTGAGGATTCCCAACCTTTCCCAAAACTGGGAGGGGTCAATCCCAAGTTTTCCATGGCAATCAGATCCAACAGTTTTCCATGAATTCCCAAGAAATAAAGAGCTGAAGGAGCTGGTGAGAATTCCTCATGGAGTGGAGCTGGAATTTGGGATGTGGGCTGGGATCTGGGGTGGGATTTGGGATTTTGGGGTGGGATTGGGGTTGGGATTTGGGATCTGGGTCTGGATTTGGACCTGGAATTGGGATTTTGGGGTGGGATTAAGTGCTTGGGTTGGGATTAGAGGTTGGATTTGGGATCTGGGTCTGGATTTGGGCCTGGATTTGGGCTCTGGGATTGGGATCTGGGTCTGGATTTGGGGGTGGATTTGGGATCTGGAATGGGATCTGGGAAGAGTTTTGGCATCTGGGATTGGGATTTGGGAATTTGGATAGGATTTGGGATGGATTTGGGGTAGGATTGGGGCTCTGGGATTGGGATTTGGGGTCTGGGTCTGGATTTGGGTTTGGATTTGGGATCTGGAGTGGGATTTGGGACCTTAGGTAGGATTTGGGATGGATTTGGGGTGGGATTTGGGCTCTGGATTGGGATTTGGGCCTGGATTTGGGGCCTGGAGAGGGATTTGGGAGTGGATTTGGGATCTGGAATGGGATTTGGGCCTGGATTTGGATCTGAGGCAGGATTTGGGATCTGGGAGGGGATTGGGGCTCTGGGATTGGGATTTGGGCCTGGATTTGGGATCTGGGTCTGGATTTGGGGTTGGATTTGGGATCTGAAATGGGATTTGGGGTGGATTTGGGGCCTTGAATTGGGATTTGGGACCTTGAGTTGGATTTGGGGTGGGATTTGGGATCTGGGATTGGGATTTGGACCTGGATTTGGGACCTGGAAAGGGATTTCGGGGTGGATTTGGGATCTGGGTCTGGATTTGGGGGTGGATTTGGGATCTGCGGTGGGATTTGGGATCTGGCTCTGGATTTGGGTCTGGATTTGGGATCTGGAATGGAATTTGGGACCTTGGGTGGCATTTGGGATGGATTTGGGGTGGGATTTGGGCTCTGGGATCTGGAAAGGGATTGGGATCTGAGGTGGGATTTGGGGCTCTGGGATTGGGATTTGGGCCTGGATTTGGGATGTGGGGCTGGATTTGGGATCTGGAATGGAATTTGGGACCTTGGGTGGCATTTGGGATGGATTTGGGGGGGGATTTGGGCTCTGGGATCTGGAAAGGGATTGGGATCTGAGGTGGGATTTGGGGCTCTGGGATTGGGATTTGGGCCTGGATTTGGGATGTGGGGCTGGATTTGGGATCTGGGATTGGGATTTGGGCCTGGAGTTAGGATTTTGGGGTGGGATTGAGTGACTGGGCTGGGATTAGGGGATGGATTTGGCCCTGGATTTGGGATTTGGTCCTGGATTTGGGATCTGGGAGGGATTTGGGGTCTGAGTCTGGATTTGGGCCTGGATTTGGGGTGGGATTGGGGCTCTGGGATTTGGATTAGGTGTCTGGGTCTGGATTTGGGGTTGGATTTGGGATCTGGAATGGGATTTGGGACCTTGGGTAGGATTTGGGATGGGATGGGGCAGGAAAAGTCTGGGATAAACTGGAAGAGCTCCAAAGGAGCTAAAACTTCCCAAAAAAATGAGACCAAAAACCCCAAAAGGAGTGGGAAAAATCCCAAATTTATTGGGAATAAGCTTGGCCAGCCACAGCATTCCCGGGATAGAGTCTCCGACCCCTTCCGAAACTTTTCCCTGTCCAATCCCAATCCTTTCCCATCCCTTTCTATCCCATTCCAGTTCTTTCCCAGTCCAGTCCAAACCAAGAATCCCAATCCCTTCCCAACCCAATCCCAACCCCTTCCCATCCCTTTCCATCCTTTCCCATCCCATTTCCAATCCTTTCCCAGCCCTTCCCAGTCCAATCCCAATCCCTTCCCAAATTCTTCCCAATCCTTTCCCAGTCCAATCCCAATCCCTTCCCAATCCCATCCCAACACTTTCCAAGACCAATTCCAATCCTTTCCCATCCCTCCCAGTCCAATCCCAACCCCTTCCCAATGCCTTCCAAGACCAATCCCATCCCCTTCCCATCCTTTCCCATCCCTTCCCAATCCTTTCCTAATCCTTTTCCATCCCTTTCTTATCCCTTCTCATCCCCTTCCAATCCTTTCCTATCTGTTTCCCATCCCCTTCCCATTCTTTCCCAAATCCTTCCCAATCCTTCCTCATCCCTTCCCAATCTTTTCCCAACCCCTTTCCATCTCTTCCCATTCTTTTTCCAATCCCATCCCAGTCCAATCCCAACCCTTTCCCATCCCTTCCCTAATCCTTCCTAATATTTTCCCATCCCTTCCCAGTCCAATCCCAACCCCTTCCCAATGCTTTCCAAGACCAATCCCAATCCCTTCCCTTTCCCATTCCCTTCCC